TTCATCTTTTAAAGAATCAAGTGGTGAAATCACCTCGCTGCGGGTGAAATACCGCCCCATGGAGCCGATGTTTGGACGAGGAGGGCACTTCTCCCGTGCCGGCTGCCTCGGGGCTGCAGTGGCCCAGCCCGGTTTAGCTCAGCTCAGCTCGGCTCGGCCTTACCCCACTGCTCGGAACCCCGGCGCCGAGGTACAACGTGTTTGATCAGCCCGAACCTCTTGATCGTAAAACTCTCATGGTCTCTACTGCAAGAAAGCTCCCCGTGGAAATCTCGGCTGATACTGCTGGAATTAATCATCGCTGCTGTTTTTACAAGTAATTAACGAGGATTAGATGTTTCATTTTCAAATGTGGCTGTTAATTATGGAGGAGGGCGGAGAAGGGATGGGGGAATTGCCCCTGTTGTGAGTGTGCCCTGTGACATGCACAGGTGGGCAACATTGGGGAGCACCTCCCCAAAATTAGTGAAAAAATCAGTGCCAGCCTTTGAGATGACAAGAAGGTAAGTAAATAAATCTTGCCCTCTCCTCCCATTCCTTTACAGGAGAGGAGCAGCTCATTCTGCCCCCTTTATCTGCTGGAACGACACCCAGTCCTGCAGAGCTCTGGCATGTGTGTCCTTCCACAGCTGCGCTGGCCTTCTCCACGGAGCCTGGCCTCACCACAGGACCTGGCCTCACATGCAGTCCCCTCTGAAAGGCAAGCAGAGCCCAGTGCAGCCTCCGCATGGGGCTTTCGGCACCAGGCCCTTCCCTTGCACAGAGGCAGCTTCACAAGGATCCCAAACCCCATGAAATGCCCCGGCTTTCCCGCAGGCCTCTGCCCATGTGGGTAGCCTCCAAGTCTCCTTGCTGCTCCCTCCCTTCTGCCCACCAGCTCCGAGATCGCAGAGGGATCCCTGACCTCTTCCCAGCAGATGTTTGTTAGGATAAAGTGCCAGCTGCTGCACTGCTCCCACTGCCCCTGGCAGGAAGGTAAGGAGCCCCTGGAATAAGTGCTCTGTTTATTGCCATTTTGAAGTGCAGTTTCCTTGCAAGGGCTGTAGAGAAGAGCTCCCTCCGCTTGCAGGGTCCAGTGTGCCAGGCTGGTCCCTGGTGCGGCCGGAGCGTTTTGGGCCTTCCCCAGATGGGTCACCCCCTTGCACCCAGGGCCAAACCTAGGGGCGCTCCCCTGAGATGTCAGAGCTTTTGCCAGCTGCTGGGTGCCAGGGATGCCGGGCCAAGGCAGGGGTTACCCACCTATGCAGGGGCTTCTCCTCGGCCAGGTTTCTCTATCCTCCATCCAAGCCCCTCGGCACCACAGCCCCTGCCAGGGCCAGTCACAGACTCCTCTTGGGCTGGCAGCATGCAGCCATGGTAAGGAAAGAAAATGTAACTTTAAAAAGGGGGGAAAAAAATAAAATAAGACTGTGCCAAGGCGTGTGGATGGAACATAAAAGCAGTGGGGAGAAAGAGAAAAAAAATAGTTCAAAGCTTTTGGTGATGACTTTTCAACCTTTATTTATGTGCCTATTAATGCAATATCCATCATGGAGATATGCATCTTTATCCTTTCAACTGATATGCTGGGAATCAATTGGATATGCAGATTACGTTTCATAAGTTTCCAAATGTTAATCTTCCCGGCCCTTTGCTGGTATTTTTTTTTTCGACAAATATATTAAATTTCCGCCACGAAAAAAAAAAATGAAAAAAAAAAAAGAGAAAGAAAGGCAAAGGAAAAAAAAAACTCGTTCAAACAATTAATCTCGAGGCTACTTTGTCTCTAGACCTTTGCGGAGGCTCGAGCGCGGGGCCGTGAACTCTGCGGGACAGATCGCGGGGACGCGGCCCCTTCCGCGGGGCTCCCCACGGGGGTCTCCCCACGCGGGGCACCCCCGGGGCAGCGCCCCGCGCAGAGCAGTCACCTGCGCGGCCCCACGCGCGCCCTCACTCGCTGAGCAGAGCGGAGGGAGCTGCGGCCCCTTCCCAAAAAGCTGCTCCGGAATTTCCCTTCGAGACGTTTTACGGCTTGCCGTCCTCTGTAGGTAACTATTATCGGCCATATCGATGCATAATTATTTGTATGAATATATTTCCCTTTTATTCCTTCCGCAGTCGCCCCGCCGGGCTGCGCGGAGCGCGGACGGGGCCGCCCGCAGGGCCCATCCCGCCCTGAGGTCCCCCCAGCGCAAACCCGCCCGCGCAGGGAAAGGGAAAGAAAGGGAGGAAGGAGGGAGACCCTCGCCCGGAGCCGCACGTCGGGGCGCCGGCGACAGCGACGGGACGGAGCCCCCGGCTGTGAGGGGCGCTTCAGAACGAAACTCCCGCTCGGAGGTGCGCGCACGTGTTAGTCTGCTCGGAAAAATCCCCGAAATTAGCCGCTTTCCTTGCCTGCCCGTTCTCTTCTTTCTTTCTTTTTTTTTTTTTTTTTCTTTATTTCTTGAATGCTTTTTATTTCGTTATTTTCTTTCTTCCTTGCTGCTTTATTTCTTTTTTTCTTTCTTGCCTCCTGATTTTTCTTTCTTGCTCACTTCCTTGCTTTCTTTATTGTTGATATTTTATGTTTGTTTTTGTTCTTTCGCTCTTTCTCTCTTTCTTTCTATTCCCCTCTCTATATATTTATATCTTTCTTTTCTTCTCTCCTCTTCTTCTCTGTTCCCCTCACTTCCCTTGGAAATAGTCCTGTACAGAATTCCGTCCGAAACCCTTACAAGAAATTAATGTATGCGCGCCATTCCGGCAAGAGTGTAATTGATTTATTTCTAATAGCGGAGAAAACAGTAATGTTATCGTTCAGAAATGATTGCTTCTGTTCCTAATAGCTCTAATTTTCACTGCCCAATTGATGTGCTGCAGGTTTAATATAGAGCACTTACTAATCCAATTAAAAGTGCACCTGGCCTGGAAGAGCTCTGTAATTAGCAGCAGCGTTTTTAGCCATTTCCACTGGAAAAGCGTGAAATCATCTCTGCTGGCCGCAGGACGGGAATATGGGGGTGGGGGCGAGGCGGAGGGAGGAGCGGGGCCGGGCGCTCAGGGCTCATCTTTTCCCACTGATTTTTGGTCGCGCCCGGGTCCGACCCGACCCGACCCGCGGTTCGAGGGGCTTCCCGGCCCGCGGAGCCATCGGCGCAGCGGAGCGGAGACTGCAGCGAGGCCCGCTCCGCAGGCGCGCACCGGCTGCGCCCGACGGCTTTTCAACCACAAAACAACACTTCGATAGTTACTTAGCTTTATTTTTAACAGTACCTCTCCCACATTCCTTCTACGCCATTATTTATTTATTTATTTATTTATTTATTATGTGTGACTAATAATGTCTTCTAAATTATACATTTGGGCAATTTCTGGGGAGCTCGTGTTTTTCCTCATTGAACCCTGTTGCGATGTGACTGCCGGGGAGCACTGCAAAGCCCACGGAGCACAGCGGAGCAATAGGGTCCTTTCCCAAATACTCGGGTTGTAGCTGAGATTTGATAAGTCTCGAGAAGCTTTTTCTGAAAGTTTTGATCATCAGGTAGTTTTGTAAAATATTGAATTTGCATGAAATTCAGTTTTTTTTTTTTTTTCTGACATGTGGAATTTCAATAGGAACCTGTTTCTTGGTATTTTTAACAGTCCTCCTGGACTCTGCTCCGGGGCTACGCGGCAGCCGGCGGCCGCAGGGAGCCGCGCTTTGGGTGCGCAACGTTATAAAGGGGCTCGAAAGCTCCACGTTGGGCGCAGGGCGCCAAAAGCCGCCCAGACACCGCGGGGACGGGCTGGCTGTGACCGAGGGCGGCTGCCGCTCCGCGCGGAGGCTGCGCCGGGCAGCGCGGAGCTTTCTACGCGGCGGGATTGCTCTGAAACAGGGCGAATTTGGGCCACGGCAAAGGCTGGTACCAGCCGCCGCCTCGCCGAGGGAAGCGGGCTCCGCGGCCAGCGAACATTGTTCCCTTTATTTCAAAGGGGGAAACCTGAACGATTCTCATCCTTTTGATTGATTAAGGTCTTGAATAACTTGAAGCTCGGGAGTGACAGTTGCTGAATAGACTATTGCAAATAAAGAGCACTGTGGAAAGCTGGGCTGGCACTTCAGAGTGTAAAGGAGGCGAGTTTCCTGGCACTTACCGAGTTATAAATAAAAGGCCATGCACAATAGTACCTTCTTTAAGGACAGACAGTCTTTACAACACTCCTGGCGTCATATCCTGCTGTGGTCACTCCAGCTCCTAGCAGACTTTACCTCTTTTATTTTTGCAGCAGTTCAGCTTGAATGCTACAATAAATTCCTGGGAACAAACGCCTGCTGGCGAGACCCCGCCACGCAGCGCGCACACGCGCGCGCCCCACGCCCGCGCGCAGCGGGGCCGCTCCCGGGGCACCGCGCGTGGCCGCGGAGGTCCCCGCGGAGCTCCACGGAGGCGCTTGCTCCCCAAACCGTTAGCGCCGTTTGACCGCGGAATGGTTCTTCCCGGCGGAGGCAGATTTCAGCGGTACATAAATAAAAAAATGGAAAAACAAAAACGCTAACTTTTGTTGTTGTTGTTGAAAAAGAAAAAAGGGGGGATGTTGACCTCTCTCCCCTGGTGCCCCAGCGGAGCCGGGTGACAAAGCGCGGAGCCTCCGCGGGCTCGGCGCTTCCCCGACGGCCGCAGGGCGGTGCCGAACCAAGCCGGGTGGACCGGGACAGAGCTGAAGTGGGCCGGGTCGGGTGGAGCGGAGCTGAGCCCCGCGATCAGAACCGGGCCGGGCCGCGGCACTCGCCCAGTGCGCGGGGGCGGAGCGGGCCCGTCGGCGGTGCCGGCTCCGCGCCCGCCCCTCTCCCCCCGCGCCCGCTCCGCGCTGTCCTGCCCGGGCCGCCGGTGCCGCGGGCAGCGCGGGTACTGACAAAAGGACGCGGCGCCGGTCCCTCCTCCTCCTCCTCCTCCCCCCCCGCCCCGCGCAGCCCCCACCCCCTCGCGGGACTTTTGCTGCTGCCGTGGGACCTGCTGACAGAGCGGCTCTCCCCCAGGCCGCCCGTCACCTGGTGCCGCGCTCCGGCCCCGCGCCCGACATGACCACCCTGGCCGGGGCTGTGCCGAGGATGATGCGGCCGGGGCCCGGGCAGAGCTACCCCCGCAGCGGCTTCCCGCTCGAAGGTGAGTTTGGCCCCGCCACAACCGGAGCTACTCGGTGCTGGCGGCCCCGAGGGGCTCGCCCGTCGCTGGGCTGGAGGGGGGCCCGGCCCCTGTGGCCTCCCCGGGCTCGCCGCTCGCCAGTGGCTCCTGCCTGGTGCTCCCGGTCCCGCTCCGGCCGGGGCACTCGAGAGGGGCTCGGCGGCGGCTATGGGCCGGGAATCCCTCCAGGAACCTCGCAGGGCAGCGAGGAGCGGGCTGGGCAGCGGAGCGGAGCAGGGGAAAAAAAAGAAAAGCAGAGAAAAGAAGAAATAGAAAAGGAAAAGAATGATATAAAACAACATTAATGTAACCAAGATGGGTGGAAAAAAATGGAAAGAGAGCTTGGAGGCAAACGCATCCCCTTGTGCTGGGCCGGGCGCGTGCCCCGCAGCCCCGCGCAGCGCGAGCGGAGCCGCCGCGCACACCCCTCGGTGTGGGGAGCGGGAGCGGGACCGGGACCGGGACCGGCGGGGATGCAGCAGCAGGTGACAGCGGCCTGGGGGCGGCGGGACGGGTGGGAGAGGAGAGGCGCCTTGCAGAGAAGGCGAAAAAAAAAAAAAAAAAAAAAAAGAAAAATAAAAATAACTAAAGAACAGCACAGCAGGAACCGAACGAGAAGTTAACGCCATTTCCCCCTCCTGCCTCCCCTCCTTTTCTAGTCTCTACTCCTCTCGGCCAGGGCAGAGTCAATCAGCTCGGTGGAGTTTTTATCAATGGCAGGCCTTTACCCAACCATATCCGACACAAGATAGTGGAGATGGCCCACCATGGCATAAGGCCCTGTGTCATCTCTCGCCAGCTGCGAGTGTCCCACGGCTGCGTCTCCAAAATTCTCTGCAGGTACCAGGAGACGGGCTCCATCCGGCCGGGGGCCATCGGCGGCAGCAAGCCCAAGGTGAGCGGGGACAGGGAGCGCGAGTGCGACCCGTCCGCGGGGCTGCGCGCCAAACGCGCTCAGCGTTGCCTGCCTGTTGCTCCTACTCGGGTCTTAAAAAAAAATATATATATATATGTATATCTCTCTGTGTGTGTATATATTTGTGTATTTGAAGCTTTGCGACCACTATTTGCTTTTCTAAAAAATGCTAATTACAAAACAAACCCGAAACCACCGCCCGTGCAACGAGCGCGGATTTTGCGTGCTGGCTCCGCGGCGGTTTCGTTGCGCGCAGAGCCCTGCGCGGCCCCGTGCGGAGCGGGGCGAGCTCCGCGCATCGGGCCGCGCTGCGGGGGCTGCCTTCGCCGCGGCGCGTAAAGTTACCGCGTTGCTCCTCGTTGCTCTTCCGTCAACCGTTTATTTTCTATCCGCTCCAGGGCCGCTGTATTTTTAGCTGTGATAGTTAAAACCTTACGCTCGCAATGAGTCGGACAAACACGGCTCCTTATCTCTAGATTGCCCTCTTCCTTCTGTTATATCTCTTTATCTACACACACAAAAAGTAAAAGTTTAAAGTTTCTGTCGAAAGTTGGCTTGTAGAGATTTTTTTTCTTTGCAGCTTCTTAAAGTAGCAATGCCTGAACTTTTTGTTCTGATGTTAATCTATGGAGAATTTTTTGAGCTTTATGCGAACAAAAACGTTGCTCAAACGAAATATTACTGCCTGCCAGGAATTCTTTGTTTTACTTGAATTCAACTTAACTTTAAAAACTTCGGTCCACATAGGAAATCTCTCTATGTAAGTTCTGGTGCCCGTCAGCATTTTTATTACTCGACATTTTTACTTGCTGCCACTAACTTCGCTTCGCGGAAACTTTGCTGCCGCGGAGCTCCAGCCAGCGGGACCTCTCCTCTGAGGTTTGCCTTGTGCAGGGCTCGATCCTCCCTTCTCGGAAAACCCCAGAGGATTTCCTGGGAAGTTTTGCTTGACTCGGGGCGCTTCTGCTGTGCAAACCCGTTGTTGTGTGTTATTCCCCTTCTTATTTTAACTTGTGCCTTATTCTTCATATAACTCGACCCTCCTCGAGTGATTTTTTTTTTTTTAAACGGATTTTAAAAGCGGGTTTTAAAAGCACGGCCGTTTCCGCTCTCACTGGCAGCAACGGGAACCGGGTGGCTGCGGCAGAGGGGCCGGGACCCGCTTTGGGACCGGGACCGGCTTCGGGAGCGGGTGCAGGATCGGGTCGGTTCGGGGCAGCCCGGCGCTCCCCAGCCCCGCAACCCCCGCGCCCGCTCCGCTTCTCTTCCCTGAAGCAGGTGACGACACCGGACGTGGAGAAGAAAATCGAGGAATACAAGAGGGAAAACGCGGGCATGTTCAGCTGGGAGATCCGGGACAAGCTGCTCAAGGACGGCGTGTGCGACCGCAACACGGTGCCGTCAGGTACGCGGAGCCGCGGGCAGCCCGTGGCGAGCGGAGCCCCCGGGCAGGCGAGTGCCGCGCCCCGGGCAGCGCGGGGGTTGCTGCGCTCGGCGGGGGGTGTTTGCAATTAAATTCCAGCTGCTTTTCCCGCCCCACTCCCCTTTTTATTTTTTTTGGCCTCTCCTCGGGCTCCGGGCGGGGGCCGCGGGGCCGGGCCAGCCTTGGCGCCGCGTTTGCGCGGGGCTCACCGGGGTGTCCTCGCCAGCTACGAGGAAAAGGCGAGGAAAAAAAAAACTGTTCCAGAGCTGCCCGGGGGCTCGGCGTGTGCGCGGCTTCAGCGCCGGGATCGCGGCCCCGACGGGGCGGCCGCGGCGGCGATGCGGGAGCCGCGCGGGCTGGTCCCCGGGGGCCCCCGCTCACAGCTCTGCTCTCTCCCCCCTCCCCGAAGTGAGCTCCATCAGCCGCATCCTGCGGAGCAAGTTTGGGAAAGGCGAGGAGGAGGAGGCCGAGCTGGAGAGGAAGGAGGTGGAGGAAGGCGACAAGAAGGCCAAGCACAGCATCGACGGCATCCTCAGCGAGAGAGGTAGAGCCGGCTCCGCGCGGGGGCGGCGGCTCCACGTCCCCCTCCCCGGGCGGGTCGGGTCGGGACCCGACGGGGCAGCTGCGGGAGCCCGATGGGGGGGGGAGGGGGGGTCGCGCCGCTTTCGGCTTCCCCAAAGTGGGGCCGGTGCAGCCAGGGCTGCAGGCGGGGGCCGCTTTCCCACCCCCTCCCCGCGGGGACAACCCCGCGCGGGGCCGCGGGCCGGGTCCCGGGGGCGGCCGCTGCCTCCGTCCGGCCGCGGGGCCTGCCCAGCACCAGCAGCGGCCCTGGGCAAGGCGAGACAAAAGTCCCAAATGAGCTGGTCAAACATTTGTACAACTTTTCCAGCTTTTACAAAGAAGGCCTTCTATACACAATCTACACTTGGAGATGAACTTGGAAAACAAAGAGGGGGGAGTCCATTGAAACTCACACTTTGGCTTTGCACAGACAAAGCTTCAGCTCGCAGCAGCTTGATGTGAACAAAGGCAGGCAACCTTTTTATAATTCAAGGAGAAAAGAAGAGAAAACAGCCCCACAAAAGGCCCAGAAAAGACATTATGGGCTTGCAATGAGGGATGAATTATTCAATGAGCCCCTAATAGCCAATGCTCCACGCAGTTTTATGGACTCTCCACTGTGGAAAAAAAAGTAGTTGTTTTCACCTACAAAATGTTTCTAGCATTTCTAGGCATCCAGAGATGCTGACTGCTGTTGGAGAAGGACAATTGAAACCCATTCTTTAAAAAGGGGCATCCCTTTGTGCCAGGACAGTTCAAAAATACCCCCAAAGCACAGTTTTCAGCTCTGTTACTAGGGCTTTAGGGAAGCATCATCTGCAGCGTGTCTGTGTTTGTGCAGAGGTTACATGGGCGCCCTGGAGATGCTCCTGGGACGGAGCTCTGGGACAGGCAGAGGGAAGCAGTCTGACCGCTCTGTGTGTCCTCCTCCATGTGACAAGTTGCAGGAGTTTGCCCAGCATCTCCTGCAGCAGAGAGAGCTGCTCTCTGGGGGAGAGGACATTCAACAAGGGGGAGAATGGCTAAATTTGGAGCCACGAGTGTTAAGACATCTAGCTTTTCTACCTCGCATGAATTTCTGAACTGAGACTTAAAGAGAGAACATAGAAAGCAATGATAATACTCCTGCTTTATGGAGCAAAGAGTAAGTAAATAGTTCAGGAGGGGAAAAGCATTATAAGAATCTTGCTACTTCCTTTCTCTGAAATATTCTTCATGTGTTTTGTCTCTCTGTTTTTTAAAGTTGGCAACCTGATTTTCTGCAAATGAGTCTCAGCCCCTTTTCCCCCTCCATCCCCTCTCCTCTCCGCTACCTGCCTCTCTCTGGCGTGACTTGTTTCACTTGCTCCCAATTAAAGCGCTAGCGAAGGGCCCTTGCTCAGAGCAGGGAGGACAGTCCTGTCCCTTGTTGTCCCCAAGCTCTCCCCGCACTGTGGGGATGCATCGAGGCCACTCTGAGTGAACAGCAGCAAATTCTGTGTGGTTCCTGGGGAGGTGGGACGCTCCATGGGAGTCTCTCCCTGCAGCGGAGATGCTGGAGAGCTCTACTGCTTCCCACCTTATGTGCATGCAGTTTCCGAGAATGTTTCCAGTCTTGGCAATTTCTCTCCCTGGTCTGTGGCGACCAGGTGATCCAGATGCTGGGAGCGTCGGCTCTGGGAACTTCTGGGAACACGGCACCAGAGGCGAGTCCTGCTGGGCATCCCCTTGGGAGCGGGATGAGGTGAGGGGCTCCCATTAGGCTGAGATCAGCGCCTTGCAGAAGGTTTCAGTCATTCTGGAGCGTTATTTTCCTGGAGGTGGGAGTAGATAACAGCCATTCTGGTATTGAGGGCAGCTGATTCCAGCTTCTTGGAGACTTGGGATCTTGTGAGTACTTGCGGCAGAGCGGGACAAGGGAAAAGAGATAATATGGTATTGCTAAAAAAGGTGCAGTAGAAGCAGTACGCTGTGTGCTTTGGGATTTTTTGCCTGTGATCACTATATAAATTTTAATACATAAGTATACAATTCTGTATTTATTATTCATGTAGTTATACACATACGAGCAAGCAGGGGCTGGAGGCGCCCGTGTGCCCAGCATGCTGCACCGTGCCTCAGTGTCACCCTCTACCTGCCCCTGGGCAGAGCTTACAGGAGAACCGAAGCGGGGCAGTGAACACGAGCCCGGCTCCAGCTCCATGCGGGATGCATCCCGTCCCGGCAGGACGCGAGCGGAGGAGCAGCCTCCGCGCGTCCCACGCAGCGGGGGCCGGGGGCCGCAGCCCCTCAATGGGGCTCTGTTCGCGGCTGCCGCGTTTGGCCCCCGGGCCCGTCGTGCCGGAGCCGCCCCCGTCATGCGCGTCCCGTCCGGAGGGCCCTGCGCCGGCTCCCTCCTCTCGCTGAGAGCAATTCAGGCGGCCGCGCACTAAATTGCCTCCTTTATGTCCTCCTCACTTTCATCTCCCACCCATCCCTCCCCCCTCCCTCCCCTTCCTCTTCTCTCTTTTTTTTTTTTTTTTTTCCTCCCTTTTTCCTTTTTTCCCCTCGGTGCCCGAGGCTCACATTAATACAATTTGGGCACCACCCCTATTTTTGTGTGTGGATGCGGGGAGCTGCGAGAGGGGGAGGAAGGAAAGGGCGCAGGGCGCGCGCGGCACAAAAGCGTGGCCGGGCCGGCGGGGCGCGCGAGCCGCTCGCCCTGCCTGCGACGTCGGCGAAACATTTTTGCTTTGTACCGTAATGGAATTAGAGGACAGATGCTGCCTGTAAATGGGACACGCGACTACCAGCCCCTAGCTTAAATATTTAGATGCAATGTTACAATTACCGACTTGATGCACGGGCTTTGAAGTGGTGGCGCATGATCCAGAGGGAAGCTGGGGCTGGCCGGGCTGGCAGATGTTTTGATTAGGGTTGGTCAGTACCATGCAGCCAGTTATTTTTAGGCTGTTAAACTAATAAAGGCAGTTTATTAAGGGAAAGGATTAGCAGGCAGACAGCAGATATCTGCTTGAGCCATCCCGCTCATTCCTGCGCCGTGGCCATGGCGCTGGCAGCATGGGACGAGGCTGGATTTAGCTGCCACTTCTCTGATCTGGGGCTCGTTGGGATTTTGCTCCGGGAGCAGCAGGACTTGCTCAAGGCCCAAAGTATGGGAGTTAATGCCGGGAAGCGCTGCACATTGCCCTGTTCAAGGCACCAGCAAATGGGCACTTGGGGCCAAACGTGAGGGCTGTGGCTGCGGGCAGTTGTCTCCTGAGCTTGGAGTTTCTTTTGGCACTTCAAATACTTGAACACTAGCAGGACTAGGAGATCGGCTTGTGTAATTTCAGCAGAATTTCGTTTCTGAGGCTCTTGGAGCCAACCGGACAATAGTTTTTAATTAAGAAAAACTCCCTCGTGGCTTCAGGATTTGGCTCAGAGCAGATAATATTGGTAGCATTTCTGCCTGTACTTTTTTTTTCTTTTCTTCCCCCACTTTGCAGTAGCACGTGAGAGTTGGTCATGGACTGGGAAAGCCTTTGTGTGAGGTGCTGTACAAATGTAAATCCATAGGCTGGACGGCAGCTCCAGGAGCTGCTGCTGGCCGAGCATGTCCATCACCATGGGGCTCTGGACCTCGCTCAGGCTCTAAACCCTTATTCTAGCTAATAATACTAATTAATGGCTCAGTAATCAGTAACTTGTGAACAGGCAAGAGTTCTGCCACAGCTGGAGAGCTGTTTCAGAAAGGTGCCGTGACTTCGGCTTTGCACGGCTCTGTTCAGTTTGCTGTTGCAGATCCCCCAGGAGCAGCCCGAGCGCTGCTTTCCTGCAGGCACGTTGACTTCTGAGGGAAGTGCTCGTTGTTTTTTATACATAGCTATATGTTACTGCACACTAATAGCATTGTGTGAGCAATAATAATACAGCCGTGGGAAGAAAGAATTATTCATTTTAGCAAGACTTCTCTGAAGTAATATGTTGCTGCATCATAGTCCGCTTTCGAAATCGTGGCTTCATTAATTGTTTTGCATGTTTTGTTGTCTCAAGAGCTCCTTAATTTAAAGGAGACACCACCGATGCAAACAGAATCGTTGTGGATGTTACTTCCCTTGCTCTCAAGCCTGTGTATCCAGCCCTGGCACAAAAGTTATTTTAGCTGATACCAGGGTCACTTCACACACAGCTGTTCGCTTAGTTGGATTTCTGTTTAAGTCTGTGTCTCCTTGCATTGCTCTGGAAAGCTGGAGCAAAATCAGCGAGGTGCAGGGAGCCGGGCACTGCATCCCCCTCCGCTAGCAGCAACCGAGCAGCAAACCCCGGCGAAGGGCAAGCGCAGTGAGCGTGAGCGGGGAGCGCTGAGCGCCGCTGCGGAGGGATTTTAGTCCAAGGAGATGCAAATCCACGCCGAAAGTGAAAGTCGACACTGGAGAAATCCTGGCTTTTATCTTAAACACCACTTGGGGAAGGTTTAGCTTTGTATTAGGTTTACTTATTGATAAGGGCTAGAAGGGGGTTTAGGAGAGGCAAGCCAATAAAGTTGATAGTGATAAATTATCACGAGTCCCCAGGGCTATGTAATAAAACTGCATGGGGAAATGAAGCAGAACTACAAAGTGCTCCCTGGTTAATTTAAGAAGAAATTGAGTGAAACGCAAAGCAATAAATCAGAGCAGTCCAGCCAATGTGAATCTCTCCGTGTAAATGTCACTTTAAATCCCACCTAACAAACGTATGGAGGAACAAAATATATAAATAAAAACACAGCATAGTTTCAAGTGTTCCCCAAACGCTGAGCGCTCCAGCTAATAAAAATGATGTACAGGAGCATAACTCATGGCAGGACTTTGTTCAGTGCAGAGCGGGTGCTCAGCTCTGCCTTCCTTGCCCTGGAGCCCTCCTGCCCCATGCTGTTAAACTAATTCGGGCTCAATCACTCTTCCTAGGGGAAAAAAAAAAAAAAGGGGAAGCCTAATGAAATTAAAACTCACTGTGGACACATTATCGTTAAATTGTGGC